AGCCACTCTTGCCCACTCTTGGTCTGCAACCATTCTTGGCCACGCTTGGTCTGCAGCCCATCTGGGGTCCGCAGCCACTCTCGTCCGCCCGGAGCATGCAGCCATTCTCGCCCTCCTGGGGTCAGGAACCACTCTTCCGCACTCAGGGTCAGTAACCACTCTTGCCCACTCTGGGTCAGTAGCCACTCTTGCCCATGAAAGGTGTGCAACCATGCATGCCCGATCGGAGTCTGCAGTCCATTTAGGGTCTGCAGGCGGTCGCGCTCACTCTGGGTCTCCAGCTACTCCTGCCCACCCTGTGTCTCCAGCCACTTCCTCCCGCCCTGTGTCTTCAACCACTCCACTCGGCTCTGTGTCCCCAGCCATTCCCTTCCGCTCTGTGTCTGCAACCAGTTCCTCCCACCCTGTGTCTGCAACCACTCCCTCCCGCCCTGTGTCTGCAACCACACCCTCCCGCTCTGTATCTCCAACCACTTCCTCCCGCTCTGCATCTCCAACCACTCCCACCCGCTCTGTGTCTCCAACCACTCCCACCCGGTCAGCGTCTCCAACCACTCCCTCCCATTCTGCGTCTCCAGCTACTTCCTCCCGTTCTGTGTCTCCAACCACTCCCTCCAGTTCTGTGTCTCCAGCAACCCCTCCCTGCTCTGAGTCTGTGCCAGCTCTTGCCCGCTCTGAGTTTCCGACGAACCAACTGGAATGTTAAGCATCCGCTGCCGAATCTTCTGAGTCTTCTGCTGAATCTTCCGAGTCCGCAACCATCTTAGCCCCCAATGGCTCTGCCGCCATTTCTGCCCACTTGTGGTCTGCCGCCACTCTCGCCCACTCTTGGTGCCCAACCATTTTCGTCCGCTCCTGGTGTCCAGCCATTCTCTGCCGCTCTGGGTCTCCAGCCACTCTCGCCCACTCTTGGTGTCCAACCATTGTCGTCCGCTCCAGGTGCCCAGCCATTCTCGGCTGCTCTGGGTCTCCAGCTACTCTCGCCCATTTCTCTTCAGCCACTTTCACCCAGGCATGGTCTGCAGCCATTCACGGCTACTCGGGGTCTGCAGCCATTCACAGCCACTCTGGCTCTGCAGCCACTCTTGTCCCCTCTGTGTCTGCAGCCATTTTCGGCCACTCAGTGTCTGTTGCAGCCACACACGTCCAGTAGAGGTCCGGAGCCACTCCTCCCCGCGTCGGCTCTGCAACCACTCTCCTCCAGTCTTGGTATGCAGCCACTTTCCACCGGTCTGGGTCTGCAACCATTCTCGCCCCCTCGGAGTCTCCAGCCAGCCTTGCTCGCTGATCGTCTCCAGCCAGTCTCGCCCGTTCCAGGTCTCCAATGGCATGTGCTCGCCAGGGCCATCAGTAACTTGTCGTTGTCTCTGAGTCCACAGCCACCCTCGCCCACTCTGCAGCCAACCTTTCCCTCTCTCAGTCTCCAACCAAGTGTCCCCTGAGTGAGTCTCCAACCAATGCCTCCCGCCACAGGTCTCCAACCAGTCTTCTCCCTTCTGTGTCCGCAGATAGTCTTCCCCACCTTGGGTCTGCAGCCATGCACGTCCATCCAAAGTCTCTAACCAGGACCGCAAACCCGACCCGCGAGCTCCCCGAAGCCATAACAGGCCCGTAAGAACATGCAGCGGCTCCGGTGGCTCAACTATGAAGGCCAACGATTGTTGCAAGTTCTGGGGGGCGTGGAGTTCCATAGGCTGATTCTGTGACTTCAATTCTAAGAGCGCATCTATGAGGGCAGTGCATTCTGGAATGTCTTGGATCATCAAGCGGAAAGAGGAATGAGCGAGTAGGGAATGTGGTGCTGTCATGGGTTGTAATCCAAGGAGGTTGCAGTTTGAGAAGTCTGAAACATAGTCTCGCATGGACGAGTGGTAGATATTCACGGGCTGGCTGCTGTTGGCGGGAATATACATGAAGGATCGTAGCTGTACCAGTGTGGTCGCGACATCGCTGCCTTGACCAGGGCCAAGGAGTTTTGAAATCTGTGAGATCGGCAGAGGATCTGCAAGGGTAGCAACAACTGACAAGTGCTGGTATGCCCGGTTGAGGTCCGAACAGGTGGAGAGGATACAGTTGTATAACTTGTACACTTCCGTTCCAGGTAGCAGATCATTTGTTAGCTCGAGCATGAGCTCAAGGCCATCCTGGGGGTCATCATATCCATCATCGACAAACTTCATCATCGTAGATGCCACGATGAAACGTCTGCCAGCTCGATTCGCCAGCCGCGCAAGTTTATCCGCTGTGGGCTGCGGGAAATCAGGATGGCGACTTCGCAACTCTATGAAGGAGTGCCGTAAGAATATACAGATATCATTGTCAACATCTTCGCCGTCTAACGAGATGGTACCAGCAACGCCCTCCCCAGAAGTGATCACCGGTATCTCATGCACCAGTGCGCGCATCTCTTCTTTTGAATGGCTTTACGGATATGCTCTTCCAAGCGACTTGTGAGTAGAATGTGGATCACGGGAAGCTCAGGATCACGAAGAGCTTCTCCGAGAAGGGAGATGAGATCGGCGACGGTTTCAGGTTTGCATTCATCGAGGGCATCGACAACAAACACCGGAGGCGGACACTCGCGCAGCCTGGATTTCAGGTGAGAGAGAGGTTGGCGACATAACGCATTCATCTGGTCGCGAAGAGACTTGCTGGGGTCTAGAACCGCAGGATTCTCGCGGATAGCTCTGTTCACGTCCTTCTTGATGCTGGGAAAATTGGTCGCAAGCTGGTAAGCAAGGGTCGCAAAGAAATGACCGATCGTGCTGCGGTTCCTGTGCTTGCGCGAGAAAAAGAATGTCCCCGCGAGCCTTGTTTCGATTTTCGTCTCCTCTGTCATTTTCAGACCTTTCATCCTCTCAGCTACAGTGAATGCCACAGCAGACTTTCCAACGCCTGCCGTGCCGTGCAGCCAAATGATTTGACTCTGTTTTGCTCGTCCAATGATCCGTGGATAAATTTAAGAAGGTCTACTCGGTCCCTTCAAAACATTTTGGATGAGGCTGGCGTTCAAGGGAGTCATATTCAGCACATAGGACAGCGATCTGAGACAGGTTCTCCCAAGTTCCTTCGGCCATTGCTAGAAGCTCGCCAGGCACTGTCAGTTAGGTCAGAGTGAGAGTTGATAAGGGAAGGAGATATTTACGTTGAACCCAGTCACTTATTTACAGAGGTTGATGATAGAATGTGACGCAAAATGTGAGTTAGGATGGAGCAAGTCGGGGAAGCACTAGTCAAGTTCAACGGTGTAATTAGAAATCATGATTGGTGATGGCTATCTCGGAGTGGACGACATACGGCGATGTTAATTGGACAATCAAATCCTAAGCTCAAACTTCGATCTTTCAAGTCCGGAGGAAGTCGTGAAACGATACTTGGGTATCAGCCTGCTCAGCAAGTGCGTTCACAGTTCAACTGGGCGGCAGCAAAAAGACCGAGTAATGGAGATAGCAACGTAAAAAGAATGTTTGAGATAGAATGGATAATCAACTGCGGTGCTATTCCAACTTGCTGGATGGTGGTTGAATGCAGTCGAGTTGAAAGGCTGAGCAGGCGCTTGTCTCAATTCAAGGTTGCTGTGCAAGGTTACCTTTGCACCACGGGTTATTTAAGTAACCAAAATTTGACAAGGTTATAGTTGAACGTACCAGTATCACTCTACCATATACGAACTATCGCTGTTGAATACTTCCAGGATATCTATAACCTCGGATGCGGCTGAAGCTGAAGTTGCACCTTGACCGGTGACCTCTCTCACTGTGCAACGCAAGTGTCACCACACGCCGCCACCTGCCAGGATAGTTTTCTGACCCAGTCAGCTCGATGATCATTGATCAGTGCTTATATTTGCCCATCATGAGAACGATCGAAATGAACACAATGAGATTGGTGGGTAAAACTGTGTCGGCTATGTATACAAGTTGAAGCGAACATGTCAAGCAGTTGTCTGCCATGGTCAGGGGTCTTTGAATGTCGTCACTCGTGTGACACATGTCACAGACGTACTAGTTCGAAGTTATTTGAAATTGAAGGAGCCGAATATATTAAACACCAAAATCATGGCAGGACCAGGATTTGAACCTAGGCCTTCCCAACTCCGGGGGGACGTCTTAACCACTAGACTATCCAGCCATTACAGTTTCCCTCACTGCATCCAATGTGTGGATTACATCATATTCCAACACACCCCCTTAATCCACACAGGGATTACAAGGTACCATTTTTTGGGTTCAGCGGAAGTTGTGCCTATTTCTAAGGTCACATCCGTCAACAGGGCTCATAACCTATTAAACACCAAAATCATGGCAGGACCAGGATTTGAACCTAGGCCTTCCCAACTCCAGGGGGATGTCTTAACCACTAGACTATCCAGCCGTTACAGTTTCCCTCACTGCATCCAATGTGTGGATTACATCATATTCCAACATATTAATGCTAGACACTAGACACTGCGTTAGCCCTCAGTCGTGATGGAACAGACTGTATTATAATATACCTAGACACTGCGTTAGCCTAGCATAAGTGTCCATTAGTGTCTAGGTATGGTTCGGATATGCGAAGAGCTCACCCTCAGTTGTGATGGAACAGACTGAGGGGAGAAGACGAAGCAAGAAGGTCTATATACAATGGTTCGTATTCCAGTCGTTCAACTCCGCTGCCGTAGGCTTATCATGTCGGCACTAACAGAATAAGGCCCGACTGATCATGATCAGTGCTGTCCAAATATGAATAAAATAATCTCGACGGCGTATTTTATTCTAATCATATTATATTCTCTATCCGCCCCGAGATATTTAATGATAGCATTATTGTATTCATATTGTATTCATATGTATTCGTATCTAATCATATTTAATGGATAGAAACATCATCGAGGTACTGAATTCCGTCGCCGAGGCCAAGCTTCAACAACTCCTTCATAATGACAGCGGCGGAAGCAGTCTCTGCAGTCATTGAAGAGCATGAATCGGAAAGTGTGTGTTTGCTACTAGAAAACAGGCGCTCGACAGCGACACTGACGGTGGGAATAGCAAGAACATCACGAGCAATGCACGACAGGATAGGAAATGTCGTCTCGTGTTGCTGCGAAGACAACAGTCAGACATTTTTGTTAGGAATTATGTGAGAAGGTTACTCACCTTCCACCACTGAAGCGGATTGGTCATTTGTTCAGGTGAACAAGGGTAGAGACCACTTAAATAGATGTCTACTTCTTTCTGCGCTGTAGAGGAACCACCACTAGACATGGTCAAAGCTGCAATGAGGGCAGACTTCGATGGTGAGGCTGGGGCTGATGCAGGAGTAGCGGCTGATTTTCTTATAGTGCCGTCGTCGGTCTCATAAGTCCCATAAAGGTGTTCGAGCAAGATCTGAGCACGACTGCCGAGATTCCCAGTAGGCCATAAGTTCTTGTCTTCGAAGTATGCAACTCGTATGCATGGATGCAAAACTAGTACTAGGATGAGCTTGATGACACGTAAGACAATAAAAACACTTACCGGCACCTAGCAAAGGGTAATCAGATTCCAAGGCTTTGTCCATGTGGTGCCAAAGCTTCTCAAGGCCAGCTTGCAAAGCCTGTGCGAGTCCATATGCTCGCCACTTCTTCAGAACTGAACCCTGATAGGACAACTATAAATGATCCAGTCCAAGTGAACGATGGTAGTAAACATACACTTCATAGATTAGACTTAACAATGCTTCTACCCAAGCTTGTACAAGAGTCAGGCCATTGTTTGCTTCAATCCCAGGAACTCGAGCAAAATGTGACGTAAAGCTGTGGGCAAGTTGTAAGCCGTACTTGCCACATACAATGAGCTTCTTTTTCTCGTCATCATTACGTTGAAAGGCTCATTCCCATGAGCGATTGAAAGAGTAAAATGGCCCCTCTTCCTCATCAACTCCAAAATCACAAAGATGCATAGCAAGAGGGCCATCTTCTGTTCCTTCTGGCATAGTCAATGGCAGGCCTGTAATTGCATGTTGAAGGTCAAGAAGTAACCGTGAAAGCTGATCCACGCTGCCAAATATGGCCATGTTTGTGATTCGAAGCGCAGTCAGACTCACAGCATTCCACTTACAGATTTTGGTGGGTGGGAAATCTTTAGATAAACTGTACAGTTCATCCCCGACACTTATGCATAATGCATTTCGTTCATGGGCTATCCAATACATATGTTAGTACCGTATTCAGAATATGGATAAATACACCAACCATAATGTATTGTATTCATAATATATTGTAACATATTCACTCGTATTCCTCAGGACCGAGAATACAGGGCCAAGGTATTATATTCAGAGTATTCGAATATATTCATAATAATATTCAATCATATTCTATATTGTGGCCAGCACTGATCATGATAGCCTAACCCAGAAACCGTGTTTGAAACTGAAGACTTTTCCAAATCCTACAGAATGTCATGCACTAGAACGGTACCGTACAAATGAATTATTTCACGCATAATAGTACTAACTTCATAAAGAAGCAAAACGAGGAAGGAAGCGAGGAGATGGCGTGAGGCTGTCCCAACCAATTGGCAAAATAGTTCACTACTTCATAGAAGAAGATGGTCAAACACCTCATAAAACCATCCGCCAAGTTGAAGGAGGAATATGGCCTTCTTCATAACTGAGCACATACAGGCGCAGGATTCCGAGTTACGATGCGACCTGACTCTCCCAGTGTTTACACCCGAAGTTAAGAGAATGGGCGGCCAGAGTCGAGTTTACCTCGGCGATCCGACATCGACTTTCTCATACCCTGGCAGTGCACGGTGGTCACTGTTCTTGCGCGTTGGTGCTGCCTTCTTTGCAGGATTCTTTGTATGTCTGGCTGTGGTTGCGCAATATGTCTCATCAAACCAATCATGCTTGTCATTTTCACTTTTCACTGCTTTACTGCCTACGCACGTGGGAGCACCCGAATGGCATGAATACCCTCTGGCCGAGCCCACCAACGTGTTTCCCTCCATGTTTCCCTCCAAGTATGTTTCTCTCCAGCTGCCGTTGTTTTCAAGATTGGAGCTGTAGTTGTGTAGTGTTGGCCATCCAGGTCCAACACAAGCAGGTGCCGAGCCTGGTGTAGCTGCTACAGCTCCTTCCTATCCTTTGCATTCTGGTGTAGTGCACCTTGTATCCCCTACACGTTTTTCTCAGGACAATGCGAAGGCCAGAACGAAGGACTTCAATATTTTCCGTAGCTGGGGAAGCTTATCTCCATGGTACTCCATCCAACGTGGAAAATTTGGTATTGATTCTGGTCCAGAAGCCCCCGATACCTGCAATATCACTGGCGTCCATCTTCTACATCGTCACGGTGCACGATACCCAGCTGACTACTGTGAGTCGATCACATCTAGATTTTAAGTAGCTTCTGAGAGAGGGTTTGTGCAATAGCTAGCGGTACTGGGCCGGGTAGGTTTGCCTCGAAGTTAAACAGGAATGCAGAAAATGTCACAGCTACTGGGCTTCTTTCATTTTTGGACGACTGGTGAGGTAGCCTAGAAAATGAACAAGGTAGCTGATGTCTGATCCCATTTCCACAGGACATACAAGTTAGTAAGCGAAGGTAATGGCTGTACGTTAACAGACAGCAGCTCCAATGCTCAATTATTGTCAGGATTGACGCCTTTTGGGAGGTCTCAGTTGTGTAAGAGAATTATTATGTCTTATAGCAGCAGATTGTGATATTCATATAGATGATCTTGGCGTGTCGATGCGCATGAGATACGGGTTTCTTCTAAAGGTTTATTTTATGTCTCCCTGCTTTGTTCTTCGATTTGACTATATCATTCAGAATTTCAGCGAAACAAATACGTTGCCTGTGTTCAGAACGGCATCCAAGTAAGTATTTCAAGAGTCAATAATTCGCATCCTGAAGATGACGTATGAAGAACTCGGGTGTTAAACTCTGCGCAAAATTTTGCTCTTGGATTTTTTTGGTTACCCTCTCGAGGGCCAGTATCAACAACAGATCATGATCAAGGCCAAAGGTGTAAGTCATCTGAACTATTCTAAGATACCTGACTAACAATGCGTGCATGTCAGTTAAACAATACTCTTGCCCCTCAACGATCTTGTACCAATAGTGACAATCCCAATCGGGGCTACCGCAGCCAACCACATGTTAATGCGTGGAAAGCAGTGTATCTCAGGGATACCGTTCTGCATTTGCAGCAATACTTCGATGGGTTTGTATTGGATGTTGAAGATGTTTATGCCATGCAAGAATTGTGCGCGTATGAGTCGGTCGCTCTTGGTTATTCCAAGTTCTGCGAACTCTTCACAGAGAAGGAGTGGGAAGGCTTCGATTATTCGTGAGAGATCTTTTCTATACTGTTTGCACGCCGCTGATCTTGACCAGACATGATCTTAACTTTTGGTGCATCCTTTCCTTCGCTTGCCACTGAAAGTCGAAAATTCTGACAAAATATATAGGTACAATGTGGCTTGGGGCTCACCTGTTGGTAGGGCAGAAGGAATTGGCTATGTGCAAGAGCTCGTGTCTCGTCTCACTCAGACGCCGATTGAAACGCACAATAGTTCCACCAATGCGACACTTCATAACACTGTCACTTTCCCCTTTGGACACAGCCTTTATGTGGATGCAACACATAAAACTGTGGTATTAAGTGGTCAGCTTGTTGTTAGTTTTGAGCTTGGGAAACGTCCTGATCTTCGTTCATTGACAGTCCTTACCGCATTGAACCTTTCGAGCTTTGCGGCAATGCGACCATTGCCCAGCGATCATATTCCAGAATATCGCATGTTTAGGACAAGAGAGCTTGCTCCATTCGCAAACAATGTACAGTTCCAGCATAAGTAATCCCACGATCCTTCTAAATTACTTCTGATTTTTTTTTCATCCTCAGTCCTATCGTGCTCTACGGAACACGACCCACAAATTCGTGTGATCGTTAATGACGGTGTTGCACCGCTGACGAATCTAAAAGGGTGTCAAGATCATCCAGATGGGATGTGCTCGATCCATGCTTTGTTGACGCGCAGAAAGAGAACATTCGGAATACGGACTGGGACTTTGCTTGTAATGCCGATTTGACGATCCCTGATGGATGGGAAACTACCACGGGCTACCCTCCTCTTTAGATTGTTGGGGCAACTCAACCTCGCGTTAGGGTGCACCCCATGCAGCCTGCGTTGGGTCAAATTTATTACTCAGGTCACTGTCTCGCGAGGTATAATCTGCATAGAGAATTTTCCATCTCCATCTTGTGTCTGTACCTGCTAGTATGTTTTACTAAATGTTGGCGTCTAAATCATGTTGTCTGTGCATGGTACCTGTGTTAGTTATCCCATTTTGATTTATCTCTATCCACATGTCTGACTCACTGAGACTCCTCGGAGACTTGCAGAGATGAAATGGATTGAACAATTTGAACATATTGCAGGCTCCGCGACTGACAATCAAAAGTAAATGGTGTAACTCTGGTACCTCAGTATCTGGTGTGGTTGAGGGTATCTTAATTAAGCTCCGTGTTCCGCTCTCCCCATGGCGCGGGATACACAATACAAGGCATGTATTTGTGGCTAATTCATGTTGTGTACTGATGAGAAATGACACAAGAAGTACTGTGGTTGGCCAGCAGTGTACATAAAAGAAGTGATGAATCTGGATTCCAAAGAGTGCCAAAATTTCAGGCCAGACTGGAATTTATATTTTGTGGGTGTACAAATGACATCATAGTGACTCGGAGTCTGTACACTTGTTCAATAACTTGGAATGCATGAATCGAAGTGAACTTGCATTTCTGCTGTATACCTAAGCCTTCTCAATGTATCATGCTGCTCCTGAAAGCTGAAAAACCTTGCAACACTGCCAACACACTGCTTAAATAGCTAGATAATGTGGGCACCAATCAGTAAAACTAAAACAGCCTGTACAGAGCCTCTAGTGTTGCCATGGCTCTGGCTTATTACTGGTTTGAGCCGTGGACCGAACCATGAGATAACACATGACTTTAGCTTATATAATTTACAGTTCGGCTTGGCTCAAATGCCGACAGTTAATTGGGTTTAATTTTATTTATACTAAGCTAATGGGTCGCGTGATTCTCAGTGTCATTGCGAACGACATGAACCTTGTTTGAGTTTGACTCAAATATTCTCCACTTAGTGGGCATGATTTGAGCTGGTTGTTGGCAGCCGCGACCAGTGTGTTTTCACATGTTGGGGATTTGTTAATCCCTGTTTCATGCTCCATTACTCCTATAGTGGAGTAGGGCTTGCTTAGCGGGCGACTCAGGTTAGCTTTGGTTTGTCCTCTTTCTAACCTTTCCTGTTGCTTCGCTAGGTGAGCTATTTGTTAGATTGTGTTGTATACCTCTTTCTAACCTTTCATGTCACTTTGCCAGTTAGTTTTTGAGCAATCTCACAACTTCGTTATCATCAGAATTCTTCTTCATGTCTGAAAATGGAGAAACCTCTCAAACAGCTACCTCAACAGAACAAACCACAGAATGTTCCACAGATCTCAACTGCATTGAACAATGCAACGAGCTCATTAATCAACATCGACTTGGACACAGTGGCAAAGCCATCACCATACTTGATATCAGAGAAAGTCTTCTCCAGTCCCCCGCTGTTAGGAGTGGACGGAACATTAATGAAGCCCTTGATGTCTTCATTGGAATGCTCGACAGTATCAATGCTTCCAGAGCACAAGCTTCAGAACAAGGACACCAAAGTAGCGGGACTTTCGAGGAAGAGGAAACTCATCGAGAGGATAGGGGAAGCGACAATGTTGAAGAAACAGAAGTGGGACGAAAGCAGACCAGAGTTGTCACTGATTCAGAGGATGAAGATGAACCCAGTTCAAAGCAAGCCAAGACTGTTGATTCCAGCAAATTTCCCTAGACTGAAAGACGGACAACAGCGCTTGCCTCTTTACCTCAGGATATCAGAGAAACCTATCAACAACTCGAAAACTTTGCCACTGATCCAAAAGGTGTTGTCAATGACATCCTGTCAACTCCAGGGTGCCCACCCTTCCCACCTAGTGAATGGCTCAACATTGTTCATTGGAAGTATGTTGACCTCGCCAAAGTCCTCGACTCAGCTCACATGACTGAGCTGGATCCAAAAAAGACCCATGTCATTGACAACAAGATTGAGCTTGCCTTGCGAGTCTTGAAGTCATCAGCAGGAATCAAAACATCCTCTGACCATAATATCGCCTTCTCCATGTATATTGAAGCAATCTCCTTTGTCTTCCCTCAGTGAAGGGATGAATTCACACAATATAACACCTACCTTAGTCGGCTCTTCCATGCCATGGAAATCCACCTCCACTCCTGCGTCATTGAATTTGACTGATCCATTAGAAACCAAGTGGCCATGCAAAGAAACCTACGCCTCACTGATTATTCCCAATTTGAGCACCTCAGAACGACCTTCCTCACCTCCTTTGGCATTGGTGCCAATTCCACCTCATCTGCATCTAGTTCCAGGGGAAGATCAAATTGGAGGGATGGATATGGAGGAAGGGATGATCCCTGTCATAAATGGAATAGAAGAACCTGCCAGAAATCAGATGGTGAATGTAGGTTCTCTCACTACTATGATTGGAGAGGATGTTGTGGCCCCCATTGAAAATCGGAATGCCCGGATAAAGGAGGGGCTAAATGAGAGTATCGTGCAGGGACAAAGATTTAGGCACAAAGGAGTTTGGGGAAGTGGAATCTCCTGCTGTAGCCATACTGCCCTCTGGACAGAGACTGTGGTTCCAATGCCTCAGCCACCTGCATGTGAGTTCTTGAACCATGGAGCTTTGGATACCATCCAGCGCCATCCCTCTTTGTTTAGAGTCTCTACGCCTATTAAAGTTGACGTTTTCGAATCTCTACTCTTGGACCATCCAAACCAACCTTTTGTTTGTTCGGTCTGCACTGGACTTAGAGAAGGTTTTTGGCCTTTTGCCGATTCTCATCCTGAGGAATGGCCGCTCATCTATGACAACTCTGATCGACCTCCCAAGACTGAGGATGAAAAAGAGTTTCTATGCGCGCAGATTGAGAAGGAGGTTGAAGTTGGACATTACTCTCAGGCATTTGGACCAGATCTGCTTCCTGGCATGTATAGCATGCCTATCCATGCTGTACCAAAACCAGGAACTAACAAGCATTGACTGGTTACCGATCATAGTGCTGGGAAACATGCCCTTAATGCCATGATCTCTCATGATGACATTGCTGGCGTCACTTTGGATAATGTGCATGATTTGGCTAATGGTCTGCAGGTGTTTAAACACTGGAGACCTCATGCTAAACTTAATCTTTGGAAGGTAGACGTGTTGGAAGCTTACTGACATATGCCTATGCACCCATTGTGGCAGATAAAGCAAATCGTGAGTTTTCAAGGTCGTCGATATGTTGATCAAAGAAACATGTTTGGAGGTCGAGCTTCTCAGCGGATCTATCACATGTTCATGTCTCTAGTCATATGGATCGTGATCTTCAAGATTCTTATTAATTTCCTGTACATCTACGTCGACGACTCTTTCTTGTTTGAAGATAAACGCAGTCTTGAGCTTTATGCTCTGTACAGGAAACTCCTTCCATCGAATCTTGTCAAGCTTCTTCGACTCTGGGATGCTATCAGTCTACCTCATGAAGAGCGAAAACAGATCTTTGGCCTCAAACTTCCTATTATCAGTTTTGATGTTGACCCTAACTTAATGTGCGCCCGCATGTCGGTTGACTCTTGTACTCGTCTTATTCAAGAGTTGGTTGATTTTGCACAATGAGGGTCATGAAGGTCTCTTCATGATTTTTCAGCATTTAGCCAGCTGGCTGAACTGGGCTCTCAATGTCTATCCACTGCTTAGGCCTGGATTATTGGCTCTCTACGCTAAGACCTTGGGCAAACCAGTTTCAAAAGCTCTTATTTGGGTTAATTGGGATGTCATTTGAGGATTAACTTGGGTCATACATCATCTTCATTCTGCCGAAGGCGTCTTCTTCTTCAAATCTGTCTCATGGAACTTTGCGTATCTTCCAGATGATGTGTTGAAAGTTTACACCGATTCATCCGGGGTTGGCTTTGTATTGATTCCCTTCCCTCAATATAGGTTTCCAGTCACCCTTGCCTGGGTCAGCACTGATTGGAACTATTTTTTATCATGAAGCCTTAGCTGTTACAGGAGCTTTACTTGATTCTGTTGTGCATCTTCGTCCTAATTAGCAAGTCGCTATATTCACCGACAATCTTAACACAGTGTCCATGTTCAATTCTCTCGCAGCCTTACCTCCTTATAACTGGCTCCTTATGGCTTCTGTAGATGCCATCCTTGCGGCTCAGGTCGATTTTCGAGTGTTCTTCATCTCTGGCATTGACAACGTGGTGGCTGATCACTTGTCTTGTTGGAAAAACACTGAAGTGCAGTCTGCCTCTCCTGGATTGATAATCCATCCTTTTTCACCCCCTCAGAATACACTGGGGGCAGCTGAAAAATGATTACTATATCATCTCAGGCCAGGCAGCCTTTACGGGATGCTTGGTCGTTGGAGCACTTTATCCATGAGTGCACAATCTTGTTAGGTTTGGTCTTGGATAACAGTACTTGCCGGGCATATTCCTCGCACTGAAACTCCTATCTCACCTTCTGTAATCAACATCATCTACCAATCGATCCTACTCCTGACATGCTTTCATACTATGTGACATTTATGTTGCATCATAGTCAGCCTCGCTCTGTCAAAGCCTACCTCTCGGGAATAGTCAACCAACTCGAGTCCCATTTCCCTCATGTGCATCAGTCTCGGCACTCTACCCTTGTAAAACATACTTTGCAAGGAGCACTTCGAAGTCTTGGCCGCCCCATCATATGCAAACAGCCTATTATTCGTGATGATTTAGCTCGCGTATTGCACATTTTACCACATCCTTTGACTCACAATGACTTATTGTGGGTTACTCAACTTCATTGTGGTTTCTACAGTCTTCTTTGTTTAGGAGAATTAGTAGCGGCTGACAACCGTTTGATGAGAGACTTTATGAAGTTCTCTCTTCGTACCTCAGTCTGTGTTTCAGACACTGACTTTGGTTTTCTGATTCAGCAGGACAAGATGGACATGTGGTACAAAGGAAATAAGGTGTTGATCCAACAGGTGCTAGTTGGTTCTGACCCTCTTCCTCTCTTTATGCATTTCCTTGCCTCTTGTGACTCAAAATTTCCATTACATCCTTACCTTTGGTTGAGGAGTGATGGCAGTCCGCCTACATGTTCTTGGTTCATCCAAAAGCTTCGGATGTTTTTTCCCGACTTAATTTCAAGGCATTCTATGCAGGCAGGAGGTGCAACTTCTCTGGCGGCAGCTGGAGTTTCTCCAGAACATATCCATGCTGTAGGACACTGGAATTTGGGGATGTGGGAGCACTATGTGTGTAAAAAATCCGACGCTGTTGCAAGCATTCTTTTTTCATGGTCATACCATGCACGACCCACCTTTTGCAAATGTGTAGTTCTGTTCCATGCATATCGAGCCCCTTCAGTGACAAATCCCGTATTATACGGGTCACCCGACCTACATAATATCCCGTGTAATACGGGCCAGCGGATTATGGGCCGATGTTATGTATATACCCGATGTTGACGGGTGGGCCGGGAGGAATATTATTTCCGATGGAGACGGGTGGGCCCATCTATGCTGATGTTATATATATCATCGATGATAGCAGATGGGCCGGGAGAAATATTATTATGGAGATGGGTGGGCCCATGTGGGTAATATGTAGAGTAGGATTGACATATATTATAGACCTGAGGAGAGATGTATAGCAAATAGTATTATATAGACGGGTGGGCCGACGTATCAGTATTATTTTGTAGACAGATGGGCCGAGGGAGCGGTGAAATATTTATTAGATAGACGGGTGGGCCGACGTAGGGAAATATTAGATAGACGGGTGAGCCAAGGGTGGGGTGAATTATTTGTTACATAGACGGGTGGGCCGATGTGGGGTAATATTAGATAGACGGGTGGGCCGAGGGTGAGGTGAATTATTTATTACATAGACAGGTGGGCCGACGTGGGGTCATATTAGATAGACGGGTGGGCCGAAGTGCAGAATTTTACATAGACGGGTGGGCCGACATCGGGTAATATCAAGTACCAAGTACTAAAACCCAAAACCCAAAACCCAAAACCTGAAACCTGAAACCCGAGCCCTGAACACCCAGACTCGGGACTCAAGAGACTCAAAACTCAAAATTCAAAACCCAACTGGAAAGTCATACATTTTTACGAGTTAAGAAAATTCAAATTTAAGATGATATACATTTTTGTCATCTGGAAATACCGAGTACCGAGTACCGAGACCTGATACCCAAGACCCGAGATTCGGCACTCGGTAGTCAGTGAAATGAGTACAGAAATACATAAGATACTACACATTAGTTTCAAATTTTGACTTGTGAATCACAAGTCTTGAGTCTCAAGACTCGAATCACTGAGTACTGACTACCAAGTACCAAGTACCGAGTGCTGAGTGCCGAGTGCTGAGTGCTGAGTGCCGAGTGCCGAGTGCTGAGTGCTGAGTGCCGAGTGCCGAGTGCTGAGTGCCGAGTGCCGAGTGCCGAGTGCCGAGTGCCGAGTGCCGAGTGCCAAGTGCCAAGTGCCGAGTGCCAAGTGCCAAGTGCCCTGAGGCTTCCGGGTATTAAAACACAGATAGCCCTCGCTCTCAGGGGGTCATCAGAATTTAGATCACCTCAAACAGATGTGATTTGGGTGAGATATGAGCAAAATACTATATACCGGGTGAATTTCAGCATTGGAAGTTTGATGCTTTCGATGTTTTTGATGTCGGGTCTTGATGCTTTCGGGCATTAACATGTAGATAGCCCTCAATCTCAGGGGTGTGGCAAAATTTAGATTGTCTGAAACAGATATAATTTGAGTGAGATATATGCAAAATACCACACACTGACTACCGAGAGCTGAGTACCAAGTGCCGAGTGCCGAGTGCTGAGTGCCGAGTTCCGAGTTCCGAGTTCCGAGTGCCAAGTACCCCCGATGCTTTCGGGTATTAACACCCAGATAGCCCACGCTCTCAGGTGCCTGTCAGAATTTAGATCATCTCAAATGGATGTGATTTGAGTGAGATATGAGCAAAATACTATATACCAGTTGAATTTTGGCATCAGAAGTTCGATGCTTTCGATGTTTTTGATGTCGGCTCTCGATGCTTTCAGGCATTGACATGCAGATAGCCCTAGATCTCAG